TGGCGGGCGCCTGTAGTCCCAGATACTCAGGAGGCTGAGGCAGGAGAATGGCGTGAACCCGGGAGGCGGAGCTTGCAGTGAGCCGAGATCGCGCCGCAGCAACAGGGCAAGACTCTGTCTCAAAAAAAAAAAAAAAAAAAAAGAAAAGAAAAAAAAGAAAAAAGGAAAAAGAAAAAAAAAACTTAGCTTTTATCTAGTGTAATATTCTCCTTTTAAAAATCTCCTTATTCTAGTCTTCTCTGCTTATGACCTGTCACTACACAGAACCAAGAGAAGGCCCTGTTTGCTTCTACATTAAATGAGATTCAGACACCCTTTCATAGAACATGAGATGCTGCCTGATATGAACTCAGTTCATCTGTGCTGGTGCCAGCCACATTCGACAGCACCACATTAGCTTTCTTGCAGTAGTTACTACAAGAACAGATTCTTTTCCTCCTCAGATCCTCCGTGTATGCTGCTCCCTTAGCTCCTCCATGGCTAGCTCCTTCCAATCATTCAGAAGCATGTTTGGAATAGGTGTTCATGGATGCTGTGATAAACTGGATGTCTATGTCCCCTCAAAATTGTTATGCTGAAGTCCTAATACTCAATGTCATGAACTTTGGAGTCGAGGGTATTAGGAGGTAATTGGTTTTAGAGGAGGTCACGAGGGTGGAGTTTCCTCTTATAAGAAGAGATCGGAGAGCTTGCACATGTTTTCTCTCTCTCTCTCTCTCTCTCTCTCTCTCTCTCTGTCATGTAAAGACACAACAAAAAGATAGCCTCTGCAAACCAGGAGGAGGGCCCACACCCAGAATTTCACCATGTTGGCACCATGATCATGGATTTTCAGCCTCCCTAACTATGAGAAATAAATGGTTGTTTAAGCTGCCCAATCTATGGTATTTGTTATAGCAGCCCAAGTTAATTAAGACAGTTACCTTCTCTGCTTACTCTTTTTAAGTCGATTTCTCCATGTAATTTTCCAACCTCCTGCCTTATTTATTTCCTTAAAAGCGCTTAACATCCTTAATTATTTATTTATTTCCTGGTTATTACCAGTTTTCCCTCTAGACTGTAAGGTCTGTGAATGTGCAGGATTATTTTTTTCTTGACCATAATACGCTATCTATAATATCTATTTCGTTGCCTGGTATATATTAGCTATGCATCAAATAATTGTGGAAAAATATAAATAGGCATTTAATACTTGGATTCACTCTGAAGTCTTGGTACATGTTTTAATTGACACATAATGATTGTGCCTATTTCTGGGTACATGTTATATTTTGATACATGCATACAACATGTAATGATCAAATCATTTTAAATATTATTTTATCATGATACACTTACTACTATATGAAATAAATCAAAGAAATACCCAGATATTAGATGTTCTGCTTTTGTTTTATTTTTATGTTGCTGTTTTCATGACATTGAGACTTTAGGAGTTTTATAGTTAATTGTCAGCTCTTTCAAAGACAATATTTAACAGCACTTCTCCATCATTATTTTGTAAAAGTAATAGAAACATCCACATAGACATTCTGTTTGTGTCTCATATTTTACATGGATTAATTGGGAACCTAAAAGACAAAGCTAAACTTAATAGTAAATTTCAAAGCATAAACTTTAAAAAGATAACTCTCCTTTCTGGAAAAAAAGGTAAGATATCAAGAAGAAATGTGTCACTATAAAAATTGATCATATCTTTCATAAGTTGCCACAAAATTTTAATGTTGATATAAGTACTACAAATAATGACTCAGTGACATATGAAATGGTTGAATTTGTGGCTACTGTCTTTATTACCATCAGTTAGTGTATCAAACTGCATTTATTTAAATCATTAATGTGATACATTGTTCTTTAAAAAAAAATCTTCATGCTAATTGTTTGATATTCTTAAAACCTGTTTATGACCTAGCCCAAAATGATATACTAAGTAAGTACTTCATATATATTAAGTAAATAAGTGGTCATTAAATATATGCCCTTCCATTGGGAATTGGGCTATACATATCCATTCGGTGACCTTTCCTAAATATTACCTTCACCCCATAGAATAATGATCAGGAGAAGGGGCTTTAGGGCGTCTCCAAGCTTTGACACTTACATTGCCACTTAATCATATCTTTCCATAATATGTGAATAATAATGCTTATCTTACTGGGATTTCCTGAGATTGCCCATTAAGCGCTTTGTACATCAGTTAGCTGGTTGTTGAAACTAATCGTCAGGCAGGCAGACAAACCAGATGGCCATTTGTGATCTCTTCTAACTCCTTAATCAAACAACTCCAAACAGCTTTTTAAGAGCCTATCTGGACAGCATTCTCTAGAAACTATAGTTGATATTCAAAATGTAAATGTGTTCAATAATAGCTAGTAAAATCTCAAAACATAGCTTGACTTATTCTGCAAATTACAAAATCTCCAATGGTAATTAGTAAATAATAATAACAAATCTTATTGGGAGTTACTGATAGATGTTACTGCTTTGGTATTACCTAGCTGCATTCTGATATGTAGTAGTATCTTTTGTCCAATTATGGTGTGCTTTTTCTTTAATTTTACCTGCAGGGGTCACTAGTGTCAAGATCTTCCTTTCTGTTTAGATTTTGATGGGTAATTACCTGCTGGCAGGTAATGTATTATAGGAATAAGGTAATATATTCTTACGATTTACTATTCAGTAAGGAATTTATTAACATAAAGATTATGACCTAGAATACACCCTTGGGAAAATTTCATGTTGATGTGCTTTTATTTGGAAGGCGAGTCACTATGTTTGCTAGTAGAAAATAGTTGACAGAAACTTCATTTTTAACTTCTTATTGGATGTAACTGTGGAGTTCAGTCAAATGACAATAAGCCAAGAAAAAAGCAACTAATTTATTCAACAATTTTAAACAGATATGTTCCTGTATGTCATAAGAAGTATGATTGTCATAAGAAAAATGGATAATGTAAACCTAGTTAATGAAACTAACTTTACATATTTTAGTAGATACATTAGTATATTCTAAATAGTAGCCTTCATTCCATTCAGGTCATTAATATAAGGCTATAAGAGACCCTTTCTATGAATTATTTAGGTAGGAGGGTGACAATAAACCTCAGTATTTTACAATCTAATGCAAATTAAATGTTTGTAACCATGTAACTCATTTTATAAATGATATTTATCTATGTATCGAATGTTAATTTTAAGTATGTTTTCTAATAGGTGGAAATGATCCAATTAGACTTATTGTTGACTCTGAATCTTCTCTTTGAACAAATGTTATGATACAAAGGTTAAAAACAAATTGAACTAAATCCAATCCACTTCCTTTGCTGGGACAAAAAAAAAAAAAAATAGTATTAGGCAGGAAGACACTTTACATGTAGAAAGTCTCTGTGCAACTCTTGACTCAGGAGAACGTTTCATCCACAGGCAATTACACCTCATCTGTGTTTGGCAGAGAACATTAAGGTAAATTCATTGCTGCTGTATTTGTTTTTCATGGGGGAAAAAATGTGACTAAAAGAAGAAAGGACATTTGGTAATTTTCCACTAAAGCTTAGACTGGCAATACAATCACCTCAGAGAGTTTATTTTGAAGAATTAGTTTGTTTTTTCCTTAAAAGCCTGAACTGACAATGAGACTATCCTAAATCCGTAAGATAATTGTGTAACTCTATGATTGTTAGGACTGGACACATTACGTTTCAGGAAAATTAAAAGAGAATTTTCAGAGTTAATTTTTTAATTCCTTGGAAATTTCTTCACAACCTTTCTCTATTTCACAATGAAAGGCAAACACTACCTTGAAGTTTAAATGCAAGTGAATTAATTCTTAAAAAAATAAATGTATTTGTACTAGAACTGCAAATGTTTGACAGAAATTAGAGAGTGGCTCTTAAAGAAACTCTCAGCAGAAGAATGATAATTAGTTTTAAAATGTACTTCTAGTATCTTCTCAGACCAACAGGACTTTATTTGCTGTAGCATCTTAAAGTGTCTAAGGGACATTCAGGCTTGGAATATCAAGGGAGACATGTTTTACTATAGTCCAAAAAGGAGTGTGAAAATATGATGTGAAAGGCACAATGAAATTTCCCAAATAGAAGCTATTTAGCTTTAAATCAGCTTTCCTTATTTGGAAAAAATAATACATTGTGAATTTTCATAATAAAAATATTTACATAACTGTCTCTTACTCTATGAACTTGAATATTTATTTTGGGGAAAACATATCTTATTCCACTGTTTTTAGTGCTGTGTGTTCTGGTTTGGGAAGATATGAAAATATACAAAACAAAAATTAATATCCTTTTTAAGTTTACTAAGCAGTGATGGTAAAAAAAAACAAATTATGATCCTAATTTTACACATCAAAATTGTTCTAAAAACTGGGCCTGGCAAATTCTTCAGCCCACTGGAAAAGAACCATAATCAAAGCATAGAACTTTATCTTGTCAATAATCAAATAAGAATTATTGGAGTCTATATTATATACTAATCTCTATATGATATAAAAGCATGAAACACACACAGTTTTCTCTTAATTATAGTTTGAGAAGAAAAACACAATGAAAATAAGAATTTACTAAGAAAGAGAGGATATTCATATCTGTGAATCACCATCATGAACAAAACATACTTGTGAAAATATTTAAGCCTGAAGTCAAGCACAGAGTTTATGACCTCTATAAGCTAATGATCGTATGCTTATCAATTCAGCTCTCTTTTTTGAGATAAGGAAACACAGGAACATAATAGTAAGTGATTTGTTCAGTGACATAAAACAAATTAATGGTTTAGTATACTGTTAGAATTGTTATGGTGGAACTAAAAACAAATCAAGCCCGATTTGGTCTACATGCTTATAGTATCCCTTGTCTTCTCCTCCTCCGCTGTATTCTCTGTCACCAAAATGATCTTCACAAAATGCCTTTGATCTGTCACTCACTTGTTTAAAGACCTCTTCAAGGCTCCACGGGATCTGAACTTAAGGTTGCTTTTCTGCCTTTTTTTTTTTTTTTTCTACCCTGCCTGTGCCCCCTGCCAATAAAAAACAAGCGAAGCTATTCTCCAACATACACTGAATATTTTTAACACAAAATGCCTTAGTGCACACTGTCCTTTCGCCCTGTAATGCCCTCCTCCTTACCTCTTCAAATACAAACTTATGTATTCTATGTTCTGCTCAAAAACAACTGGGGTCTTTGTTGATTTTTTATCTTCCTATTGGAGATAATCTCTCCCATGCTTAGCCCATTACACCTCTGGGGTAAACAGAGTCCTCCCTCAGTATCCAAGGGGGATTGGGTCCAGGAACCACTAGTAACAAGATGTTAGATGCTCAGGACCCTTATATAAAAGGCATATTATTTGCATGTAACCTGTGCACATCCTCCTTTATACTTTAAATCATCTCTAAATTATTTATAACCTAATACAATGTGCATGCTATGTAAATACTTGTTATACTCTATCACTTAGGGAATAATGACAAGAAAACAGTCTGTACATGTTTAGAACAGGTGCAGTCATCTATTTTTTTTTTTTCTGAATATTTTCTAACGTGGTTGGTTGAGTCCTCAGATGTGAAACCCAAGGATACAGAGGGTTGACTGTATGTCTTCCTCCCACAAGACTGAAAGTTCACTGAGGACTGGGGCCTTCTCTTATCATATTTGTATCATCTGTAGTACACTGAATGACTTATGCATATTCACAGAGAAGTAACTTATTAATAACAATCAACATAATTAAAATAGTTCACATTTATAGACACTTACCCTGAGTCAGGCACTAATCCAAGTACTGTAGATGAAGTTAGGATTTGAAGCCAGGCTGTTGGCTCCAGGGTTCTTGTATTTAGCAGTGTGGGCTCTGGAGTCCGCTGTCTTGGACCGAATCCTGATTCTACTACTTAATAGCTGAGTGATCTCTCTGTGCCTCAGGGCTTCATCTATAAAGTGAAAATATTAATGGTACCTAACTCAAAGGTATTTTAATAGATGAATTAAAATAATACATTTTAAATACTTTGAGTGGTGGCTAGCACATAGCAGTGCAGAATAGCTCTATTTATTTAGTTTGTTCTAAATATTTTTTGAGTTAATTAATTCAACCCTCCTGGGAAAAGGAGGGCTTGTCCCACCTCCTGTCAAAATCCTTTTCTAACTTTAAGGACCTGCCTATAGCCAACTTTTCTGTGAAATCATTCCCAGTGCCAACAAGATTATTCCTTCACAATGTTTTACATTTCTAACCTTCTAACTTTACACAGCAGCTAACTATATGTAGCTATAGGAAACAGTTATCTTCAGCTATACTTATCTATAATGTCAGAAATAGTTAACGAATTAGGAACTTTGTATCATAATAATAAAAAATGATCATCTAACTTTCTGTGTTTTGGATCCAGTCTTTCTTCTGACTTGCCTAAATATGTAAAAATGATTCTTGTAGTAGGCAGAATGCTTTGAGTGACCTGAATAGGACTACACAAAATAAAAACTCTATACTTGATCACACCTACAGCAGAATTCTAATTTATAAATTGGAAGGAAAAAAAAATCTCTCAGGGTGCCCAGGTAATGTTAACATATCAAAGATGAAGTGTTTACTCAATATGCTAGTAAAATCCCAATTTAATTCAATCTTTTCCCATACAGGAATTGTTTTCATATCTGAGGAATCATACTCAATTTTCTAGGTTGTATTAAAGCATGATTTTTAAGAGGTAATCCATAAAGATGTATTTTCCTATAATGAAAAGTAAATATATACCAGACATTTTCCCTGAATAAAATGAAAGGGATTTTACAACAATCGTGGTGACTTGATCGCTTGTTAGGTCAGCCATCCTCCATGACGAGACTCAGGAGAAGAGTGACACAAATAACCAGATGAGGGATTCCAATGAGGTATTTTGACATTGCTGTATTTCAGCCATGCTTTTTGAAACTAAAGCATGAGTAGTTAAAATCAATCACTGGCTAATTGGATTTTAACACTAAAGTAATTTTTCATCCTCTTTCTGTAATGGGAATAATCAACATAATATTAGGTGTCATTTCATATTTTAGTGATTTTATTATTTAGTAGGAAAGAGCACTAATCTGCTTTGACTCAGGCCCAAGACTTTGTGAGATACTTTAAAAAAATGCCTAAGACCATTTCAAGGTAATAGTGAAATATTTATGTGGCAAAGTTTAGGAAGAAAAGCAGGGAGGGTGGGATATTAAATGAAAATGGAAAAGGAACAGCCTAGAAATCCAAAAACTGAGTTCTTTCTCAGGTTTCTCAGTGGAACTACATACCCTTTCACAAGTCACCATCAGTTATTCTGTGGCGGTATGAGGTATAGAAAAAAAAAAATACCAACTACTTCAAATACATGTACCTGCATTTCACGACAAAGGAGGTTTTATTTCACCAGTCATTCAAATATATAACACTCAAGCCCTGGGGACCCTTGGATTACAATGAAACAAGTATTTTATCAAATGTTCAGGAACCTTTAATAATGAATCACTTCCTTCTCTTTCAAACATAATAATTTTCTAACATGAGTTCTATGTATTTTGAATTTCATAGAAGGATATGAGGTAGTATAATTTATGGGTACATCATAAATATTTGAAAAATTAATTTCACATAGCATCTCTGATCTAAATTCTAAATTCTTATTAATTTTAAGATACTCTTAGTGTCCATCTAGAGAACAAGAGGTAAGGTAACCTACTATACCAGTATCACTTGTTTTTGTTAAAATTGGCATTGATCAATTAAGCCTTCTAAACAAAGCTTTTCCTTGTAGTCAACTGGACTATGAGACAACCCTAAATATATAAGGTTGAAATGGAGATAGCTAGTACACCTATAATATCTTCCCTCTCCTTCTAACATCCACTTTAGCTAATGTGGCAGGGCTGAATTGTTCTCCCCCACTCACCCCCAACCACTGCCATTTCCTAGTATATAATATATACAATATTGGGGTAACTAAAAGCAAATTTAATAAAGTGACTCAAGGCATGTTCACAATTTGAAGCCAAGGATTTGAGTGGGGCTTCCTTCTCAAGAAAAAAAATTGTAATAATAACACTAACTAAACTCTGGAATACAACTTTAACAGACTCTGAGCCTAGGAAGAATGCAGACGTAGCCTTCCTCCTAAGAGCAGCACAAAAACCATAAATTGAATTTGTAATTGACAGAATATGCAATGGTTCTATTATCCCTATGGCACAGAAACCCCCAAGCATCATGATATGCTCTGATTCTGCATGTGAGGATTAAGAAGCCAAGTGAAGACTACCACAAAAGAAGGTGGAAAAAGAGAAATAAAACCAGAGAAAGAGGCAGTGGACTTACAAACAAAATTCTAAAACACATGATAAACTCAAATACCAAAGTACAGATAACCAAATCGAGAAATGGAACATGGATTCACTCCACATCAAATTCTTTTTATGAAACAATCCAATGAATAATTTAAATATCTATATTTGAGATACTCAAATTGATAAATGAAAGAAAAATTTTATTTTTTCAATTGCAAGGAATCCTTCTTAAAGAAGAAAATGATGGCTATGTATGAAAAGAACAAATCAAATAAAAATCATGGTCACTAAAATTTAAAAATATCCACATTAAACAGAATAAAATAGAGGATTGGTGAATTGAAAAGATTATATAAGAAATTTATTAAGAATTCAGTACAAAGTACAAGGAGCTAGAAAAACATAAAACATTATTTTAGAGGTCTGGAGGAGAAATTTAAAAAGCACAACATAAACCTGATAGGAATTCCAGAACAGAAAGAATGATGGAAAATTAATATTTAAAAAAGTATAGCTGAGAATTCTCCAGAATTTAGGGGTAAAATCAATTCTTAAATAAAATATATACTTCAGCTTCCAAGAAGATTTCAATAAATAAACACAATGTGTAACTTATTTTTCTCTGAAAACTTTTCTAGATTTTCTCCATGTTTCAGCGTTCTGAAATTGTATGATGACGTGTTTTTTTGTGTGTGCGCATCCAGTTTCATCTTTAATTGGGACTATCAGTGGACCTTTCAATACTTATGTTCTTCAGTCCCAGAATATCTTCTACTATTTATGTAATATATTATCACATCCATTATATTTGTTTGTGTCTTTGTTAAACTACTTGAATGTTAGACCTTCTGATTTGATGCTGATGCTCTAATTTCTCTTGATTTTTCTTTCTTTTATTTTCCATATCTTTTTCATTTCATTCTCATTTGTGAGAAGTTTCCTCAATTTTCTTTTTTGACACTTTCCAATTTTTTATTCTCACAATTATTTAATTGTTTTGTTCATTGGCTAGTCTTTGTAATCGTGTGTGTGTGTCTATGGGTGTTTCTGCAATATTTTCTTCTATCTCTTTTGAGGATACCAGTTATAATTGTTATGATTTTCTTTTCTGCTCCCAAGGTTTTTTTTTTTTTTTTTGAGTTTATTGGTCCACTTCTTTCTTCTGGTTTCTGTTTTTATGTTAAAGATTTTCTTCCAATGGCTGTATTGGCTTTCTAATAATATTTAGGAGTGAACAAGTACTAAAAAGCTAATTGGAGGTTATGTGTGCTTACCTATCTTAGGGAGAGACAGGGAGATGTGTTGACTGATGGATCTCATAATAGGATGGTGAAACAGCTATTTCAATGATAGATCTTCACATGATGCACCTCCAAATTTTGCCGTCCCTGAAGGCTATTTTACCCTTCTATTTATAGGTTTACCAGTTTACTCAGAAAATAAACTTGTGGTCCTGCTAGGGTGAAGGAAATACAGCTGACTGGCTACGTAGGAAGGGCAAAGAGATCTAGGAGTCTAAATGCATCTTACACAATCTTTCAACTATTCCTTATGTTTTCAAGCTCTAACTGCATTATCAGTTTAGAGGCATTTCCTGACATTTTTTGTGTTGTGTGGTACAATTGGATTGATTCTGAACTTCTGCATATACTAGAATAAATTTCAGCCTTATTTGGTATTTTAAGTAAATTATCCTCATCAATATATGTTATAGCTTCCAAAAATTTGTTGTTATAACATCTTTCCTCAGTGTTTTTATATATTATTTTATAGCTTTTATATTATTTTGTCCTTTTAATCTCATTTTTGTAAAGTTTTAAGAAGCAGAAAAATTAACAATTATTCTGACTCTACCATGTTCATCTAAAGGGAAAAATCTCAAAAGCTTCCCAAGAGGAAGCATAAATTATCTACTCAGATGCCAGAAGATGATGGAATATCTTCAAAGTGCTAAGAAAAAATAAGTATCCACATCAAATGCCACACTCACAAAAGAATCATCACCCGAGAAGGCATTTTTAGGTTTACAAAGACTAAGAAATATTCGTAAACAGACCCTCAGTAAAGGAATGGTAATTGGATGCACTTCCACAGGAAAAAGAGGAAACCCACACAAATGGCATGAGATACAAGAAACAAGAGTTAACACCAAGCTGGATAAGGTATCTGTACATTTAATGATTGATTTTAAATATAGAAACTGTATTTGTGTCATAATGGTTTAAAAACCTCCAGAAAACAATAGCAATATGGGGTAATCAAGACACACTGCGGCTTCATTTTTGTTACTTTTTTTTCTTTTTGACAGAACAGAAAATATAAATGACTTTGTTAAAGAAAAATCATTAAGCATAAATTTTAAAAATTAAGAGTAACTACTAACAGAATTGAAAGAAAATATGCAGGTTGAGTATATCCTTTGTTGCAAACATTTGGAAACAGAATTATTCCAGATTTTAGATTTTTTTGGATTTTGGGATATTTGCATTATACTTATCAGTTCAGCATCTCTAATCCAAAAATCTGAAATCTGAAATGCCCCAGCGAGCATTTCCTTTGAGCATCATGTCAGCACTTTAAAAGTTTCAGATTTGAGTATTTCACATTTTGAAATTTTTGATTAGTGATACTCAACCTGTGTCACTTCTAAAAACCTGCACAAAGCACTTCTAAAGCAGCAAATAAAGCAAAAATTTTAAGTTTTTACTCCCTAAAGCACTAATAAATAGAGAAAAATAATGTACAAAGATGACTAACAGAAAATTCAAAATAATATGATAAAAATAAGTTCAAACATAGTAGTTAATCAAAATAGTATAAATTGCTCAAACTTGTCTACTAAAAGATTACAGATTGGATTTTTATTATTATAGTTATAAATTCTTGGCAAGAACCATGATAAAATGATGATGAAAGCTATGATATGTGAATAGTAACCATAAGAAAACTAATGCAGCAATATTAACATCAGATGGCATAGAATTTAAGGCAAAACATTAATAAGCATATTATGTACAATAATAAAAGGGAAAAATGGCTAAGAAATGCTAATAATCATGACTTTGTTTGCAACAATGAACTAAGAGCCTTGAAATATACAAAGTAAAACTGGCACAACTGCAAAGAGAAATGGGTACCTCAATAATATTAGTAAGAGACTTTAAATGACCAACGTGAACTATATATTATTATATATTATATGCTACTTGCAATATTGTTTTGAACAACAAACTTAAAAAGTTTTAGCTAATAAATATGTATAGAATTGTGTGTCCAAATAAAATAGGTACACATGGAATAATAATCAAATTAACAATGCAGGTCACAAAGGCAGTATTATCACGTTACAAATAATTGCCTATAAGCAATAGTCTATGATAACATCCTAATCTAAATGGACATCAATAAAAAATAAATTTTAAAAAGGAATATCCTATTTAAAAAACACATATGATATCACAGTAGGAATCAGGAAATACTCTGTGACTGGCAAGATGGCCAAATAGGAATAGCTCCAGTCTGCAGCTCCTAGCAAGATCAACACAGAAGGTGGGTGATTTCTGCATTTCCAACTCAAGTACCCAGCTCATCTCATTGGGACTGGATAGACAGTGGATGCAGCCCATGGAGGGCAAGCCGAAGCATGGTGGGGCGTTGACTCACCTGGAAAGTGCAAGGGGTTGGGGAACTCCCTCCCCTAGCCAAGGGAAGCCCTGAGGGACTGTGCATGAGGAACAGTGCACTCCAGCCCAGATACTATGCTTTTTCCCATGGTCTTCACAACCCACAGACCAGATTCCCTACGTTGCCTATGACACCAGGGCCCTGGGTTTCAAGCACAAAACTGGGCAGCTGTTTGGGCAGACACCGAGCTAGCTGCAGGAGTGTTTCATATCCCAGTGGCACCTGGAACACCAGCAGGACAGAACCATTCACACCCCTGTAAAGGGGGCTGAAGCCAGGGAGCCAAGTTGTCTAGCTCAGCGGATCCCACCCCAACAGAGTCCAGCAAGCTAAGATCCACTGGCTTGAAATTCTCGCTGCCAGCACAGCAGTCTGAAGTCAAACTGGGATGCTCGAACTTGGTGGGGGAAGGGGCGTCCACCATTACTGAGGCTTGAGTAGGCAGTTTTCCCCTTACAGTGTAAACAAAGCCGCCAGGACGTTCAAACTGGGCAGAGCCCACCTCAGCTCTGCAAAGTTGCTGTAGTCAGACTGCCTCTCTAGAGTCTTCCTCTCTGAGGATGGCATTTCTGATAGAAAGGCAGCAACCCCAGTCAGAGGCTTATCGATAAAACTCCCACCTCCCTGGGACAGAATACCTGGAGGAGGGAGTGACTGTGGGTGCAGCTTCAGCAGTTAAATGTTTCTTGCTGCCAGCTCTGAAGAGAACAGTGGATCTCCCAGCACAGTGCTTGAGCTCTGCTAAGGGACAGACTGCCTCCTTAAGTGGGTCCCTGACCCCCATGCCTCCTAACTGAGAGACACCTCCCAGCAGGAGTTGATAAACACCTCATATAGGAGAGCTCCTACTGGCATCTGGCAGGTGCCACTCTGGGATGAAGCTTCCAGAGGAAGGAACAGGGCAATCTTTGCTGTTCTGCAGCCTCCGCTGGTGATACCCAGGCAAACAGGGTCTGGAGTGGACCTCCAGCAAACTCCAGAAGACCTGCAGCAGAGGGGCCTGTTAGAAGGAAAACTAACAAACAAAAGGAATAGTATTAACATCAACAAAAAGGACATCCACACCAAAACCCCATCCGAAGGTCATCAACCTCAAAGACCAAAGATAGATAAATCCATGAAAATGAGGAAAAACCTGCACAAAAGAGGCTGAAAATTCCAAAATCTAGAATGACTCTTCTCCTTCAAAGGATCACAACTCCTCACCAGCAAGAGAACAAAACTGGACAGAGAATGAGTTTGACGAATTTATAGAAGTAGGCTTCAGAAGGTGGGTATAAGCAAACCCCTCTGAGCTAAAGAAGCATGTTCTAACCCAATGCAAGGAAGCTAAGAACCTTGATAAAAGGTTATAGGAACTGCTAACTAGAATAACCAGTTTAGAGAAGAACATAAATGACCTGATGGAGCTGAAAAACACAGCATGAGAACTTCATGAAGCATACACAAGTATCAATAGCCTAATTGATCAAGGGGAAGAAAGGATATCAGAGATTGAAGATTAAGTTAATAAAATAAAGCATGAAGACAAGATTAGAGAAAAAAGAATGAAAAGGAACAAACAAAGCCTCCAAGAAATATGGGACTATGTGAAAAGAGCAAACCTACATTTGATTGGTGTACCTGAAAGTGATGGGGAAAATGGAACCAAGTTGGGAAACACACTTCAGGTTATTATCCATAGAAATTCCCCAACCTAGAAAAACAGGCCAACATGCAAATTCAGTAAATGCAGAGAACACCACAAAGATACTCCTTGAGAAGAGCAACCCCAATACATATAATCATCAGATTCACCAAGGTTGAAATGAAAGAAAAAATGTTAAGGGCAGCCAGAGAGAAAGGTCAGGTTACCCACAAAGGGAATCCCATCAGATTAACAGCAGATCTCTCTGCAGAAACCCTACAAGCCAGAAGATAGTGGGGGCCAATAATCAACATTCTTAAGGAAAAGAATTTTCAACCCGGAATTTCATATCCAGCCAAACTAAGCTTCATAAGCAAAGGAGAAACAAAATCCTTTACAGACAAGCAAATGCTGAGAGATTTTGTCACCATGAGGCCTGCCTTACAAGAGCTCCTGAAGAAAGCACTAAACATGGAAAGGAAAAACTGGTAGCAGCCACTGCAATACAATACCAAATTGTAAAGACCATCGACACTATGAAGAAATTGTATTAACTAACTGGAAAAATAACCAGCTAGCATTGTAATGACAGGATAAAATTCACAAATAACAATATTAACCTTAAATGTAAATAGGCTACATACCCCAATTAAGAGACACAGACTGGCAAATTGGATAAAGAATCAAGACCCATCAGTGTGCCGTATTCAAGAGACCCATCTAACATCCAAAGACACACGTAGGCTCAAAATAAAAGGATGGAGGAATGTTTATCAAACAAATGGAAAGCTTAAAAAAAGCAGGGATTGCAATCCTAGTCTCTGATAAAACAGACTTTACACCAACAAAGATCAAAAAAAAGACAAAGAAGGGCATTAATGGTAAAGGGATCAATGCAACAAGAAGATCTAACCATCGTAAATATATATGCACCTAGTACAGGAGCACCCAGATTCATAAAGCAGTTCTTAGAGACTTACAAAGAGACTTAGACTCCCACACAATAATAGTGGAAGACTATAACACCCCACTGTCAATATTAGATCAATGAGACAGAAAATTAACAAGGATATTCAGGACTTGAACTCAAGTCTGGACCGAGCAGACCTAATAGACATCTACAGAACTCTCCACCACAAATCAACAGGATATACATTCTTCTCAGCACCACAACGCACTTATTCTAAAATTGATGACATAATTGGAAGTAAAACACTCATCAGCAAATGCAAAAGAACAGAAATCATAACAAACCATCTCTCAGACCACAGTGCAATCAAATTAGAACTCAGGATTAAGAAACTTATTCATAACCCCACAACTATATGGAAACTGAACAGCCTTGCTTCTGAATGACTACTGGGTAAATAACGAAATTAAAGCAGAAAAGTTCTTTGAAACTGGTAAGAACAAAGATACAACATACTAAAATCTTTGGGACACAGCTAAAGTAGTGTTTAGAGGGAAATTTATAGCACTAAAAATACCTATTTAGTGCTATAAATAGGAAAGATCTAAAATCGACACCCTAACATCACAATTTAAAAAACTAGGGAAGCAAGAGCAAACAAATTCAAAAACTAGCAGAAGACGAGTAATAACTAAGATCATAAAGACATGAAAAACCCTTCAAAAAAATCAGTGAATGCAGGAGGTAGTTTTTTGAAAAGATCAAAAAATAGAGCACTAGCCAGACTAATAAAGAAGAAAAGAGAGAAGAATCAAATAGACACAATATAAAATGATAAAGGGGATATCACCACTGATACCACAGAAATACAAACTACCATCAGAGAATACTATACACCTCTATGCAAATAAACTAGAAATTCTAGAAGAAATGGTTAAGTTCCTGGACACATACACCCTCCAAAGACTAAATCAGGAAGAAGTCAAATCCCTGAATAGACCAATAACATGTTCTGAAATTGAGGCAGTAATTAATAGCCTAACAACTAAAAAAAGCCCAGGACCAGACAGTTTTACAGCTGAATCCTACCAGAGGTACAAGGAGGAGATGGTACCATTCCTTCTGAGACTATTCCAAACAATAGAAAAAGAGTGACTCCTCCCTAACTCATTTTATGAGGCCAGCATCATCTTGATACCAAAACCTGGCAGGGACACACAAAAAAAGAAAATTTCAGGCCAATATCCCTGAAGGAACATCAATGCAATAATCTTCAATAAAATACTGGCAAATCAAATCCAGCAGCACATCGAAAAGCTTATTCACCACAATCAAGTTGGCTTCATCCCTGGGATGCAAGGCTAGTTCAACACACACAAATCAATAAATGTAATCCATCATATAAACAGAACCAATGACAAAAAAAACACATGATTATTTCACTAGATGCAGAAAAGACATTCGATAAAATTCAATACCCTATCCATCCATATTAAAAACTCTCAATAAACTAGGTATTCATGGAAATTATCTCAAAATAATAAAAGCTATTTATGACAAACCCACAGCCAATATCATACTGAATGGGCAAAAGCCGGAAGCTTTACCTTTGAAAAGTGGCACAAGACAAGGATACCCTCTCTCACCACTCCTATTCAACATAGTATTGGAATTTCTGGCCAGGGCAATCAGGCAAGAGAAAGAAATAAAGGGTATTCGAATAGGAAGAAAGGAAGTCAAATTGTCTCTGTTTGCAGATGACATGATTGTGTATTTAGAAAACCCCATTGTCTCAGCCCAAAATCTCCTGAAGCTGATAAGCAACTTCAGCCAAGTCTCAGGATACAAAATCAATATGCAAAAATCACAAGCATTCCTAAACACTAAATAACAGACAAACAGAGAGCCAAATCATAAGTGAACTCCCATTCACAATTGCTACAAAGAGAATAAAATACCTAGGCATGCAACTTACCAGGGACGTGAAGGACCTCTTCAAGGAGAACTACACACCACTGCTCAAGAAAATAACAGAGAGCACAAACAAATGCAAAAACATTCCATGCTAACGGATAGGAAGAATCAGTATGGTGAAAATGGCCATACTGCCCAAAGTAATTTATAGATTCAATGCTATCCCCATCAAACTACCGTTGACTTTCTTCACAGAATTAGAAAAAATCTACTTCAAATTGCGCATGGAACCAAAAAAGAGCTCACGTAGCCACAACAATCCTAAGCAAAAAGAACAAAACTGGAGGCATCATGCTACCAGACTTCAAACTAAACTACAAGGCTAAAGTAACCAAAACAGCATGGTACTGGTACCAAAACAGATATATAGACCAATGGAACAAAACAGAGTTCTCAGAAGCAACACCACATATCTACAACATCTGCTCTTCAACAAACCTGACAAAAACAAGCAATAGGAAAAGGATTCCCTATTTAATGAATGGTGTTGGGAAAACTGGCTAAACATATGCAGGAAACTGAAACTGCATCCCTTCCTTATACCTTATACAAAATTTAACTCAAAATGGATTAAATACTTAAATGTAAGACCTACAACCATAAAAACCCTAGAAGAAAACCTAGGCAATACCCTTCAGGACATAGGTATGGGCAAAGACTTCAAGACTAAAACATCAAAAGTAATGTCAACAAAAGCCAAAGTTGACAAATGGGATCTAATTAAACTAAAGAGCTGCTGCACAGCAAAAGAAAATATCATCAGAGTGAACAGGCAACCTACAGAATAGGAGAAAATTTCTGCAATCTATCCATCTGACAAAGGGCTAATATCCAGAATCTACAAAGAACTTAAAGAAATTTACAAAAAGAAAACAACTCCATCAAAAAGTGGGCAAAGGATATGAACAGACACTTCTCAAAAGAAGACATTTATGTGGCCAACAAATATATGAAAAAAAGCTCGTTATCACTGATCATTAGAGAAATGCAAATCAAAACCACAATGAGATACCATCTCATGTCAGAGTGGTGATCATTAAAAAGTCAGGAAACAACAGATGCTGGAGAGGATGTGGAGAAATAAGAATGCTTTTACACTGTTGGTGGGAGTGTAAATAAGTTCAACCATTGTGGAAGACAGTGTGGGGATTCCTCAAGGATCTAGAACCAGAAATACCGTTTGACCTAGCAATCCCATTACTGGGTATATACCCAAAGGGTTATAAATCATTCTGCTATAAAGACACATGCACATATAGGTATATTGCGACACTATTCACAATAGCAAAGACTTGGAATCAACCCAAATGGCCATCAATGATAGATTGAATAAAGAAAATGTGGCAAATATATACCATGGAATACTATGCAGCCATAAAAAAGGATGAGTTCATGTCCTTTGCAGGGA